GAGGGCTGGTTGGTTATGGTTATAGTGTAAGTAAAAGGGCACATATTTACCAAATAATTCGTGTAGTTAGTAGACCATTGTTTTCCCTAATTAGATCTAGGTGATCATTACTGTAGTTATCTCAAAGGTGCTATTTTTGTCACAATCACAATATCATCTGAACTCTTTGAATGTTATATTGGAACTAATCTTATTTCTTAACTGAATGTGACCACCCCTCCAACCCCCCACAAAAAAAAAACTGGCTTTTGTTATCGTCATCACTAAAAGATTTAAGGAGCTTCTGGTTATTCCTTGAGTTATTCTTGAAGATTTACCATCTTACTGAGAACTCTGTATGAGTGTATCTATAATCAGACTAGATAGTAATTGTTAGAGATTAGTCAAACGAGTGCCTTTGTACTTATTTGCTTTTCAACGAAAATATTGCCTCCATTTTTCAATGAATAATCTGGATAACTTTTCTAAAAAAACCTTTAGAATGATCATGTTTGTTCAATTATTTCTACTAGCATAACTTTTTGATTGATCTTGATTTATGTAAGTTCAAGCTGACCCATATTAACCAATTCACAGTGAACCCAAATAGAGCAAATATATTTTAAAAAATAATTAATCAATCATTCCTAGAGAAAAGTATCAAATTCACCTAGTTCATAGCATAAATATGAACCAAATAAATGTCAACTCTTCGGTTATTAGATTTTAGAATTTGTGCACAGATTCAAGGGTTGACATCCTTTGGGTATGTATTTAATGTCATGAACCGTCCCTACCTGATACTTGCTATAGTGTTAAATAGTGAAAACCTAGGATAATTATAAGTTATGTGATTTAGTAGTCCCTAGGGCCTTGATACCCTATGATGATCACTAATATGGAATAACCCTTTTTTATTGGATGAGGGGGTCCAGCAAGAGGACTCTATTGGATTGTTTCATAGAAAGTTTGATTATAGATATAATCAAGACATTCAATAAGATCTAACATTTATATTTGAGAGCAAATAAAGCAAGCATATGCGACACAAAAATTACCGATCCTCTGATATTTACCTATCTCTCGAAAAATGATTGATTAATTATCTCAGAATTTATTTGTACTGTTTCAATGAATACCTCGAAATCCGTACAGTTCCTGCATAAAAAATTATAAATGAAGAGAGAAAGGATGAATGACATTTATTTCATGATTAATTTAAAATCAATGCATTCGATATTTGATATAAGTGTAATTAATAAATATCAGTGTGAAGTGCAAACAATTAAAAAGTCATGCACAAAAAATATTGTATTATTGTCATTATGAACTTAAAAAGTTGTACTGGACTTTGACATGTTCCTCTTCATCATATGGTTTTCTATAAATTAATGGTCTTTTCCCCCTTGTGATAGGTAGATATCCACGATGTTCTCAACCATAAAAAAATCGCTTTTTACCAACCACCAAAAATTGACATCTTACCAACTCTGATGCAAAATATTGAAGGGGTTTATTCTTGAAGTATTTAAAATTTTAAAATTATTATTTTAAATTACTAAAATTACCATTAGGTCCCTCAATTCTTAGATCTTGTAATGTTACTTGGAGGTGAATCTTGATTAAACCAACCAAACCAATTGGATTTCCATAGTTCACTTTGATTTTTGAATAGTTTCTGTTTGGTTTAAAATATTACAAACAGAATTAATGGAATTAACCGCTATCATTACAATTCTTAGAGAAAAAAAACATGTTTTATTTTTTTCCATTTATTTGATTTCCAGGAGAAAACAAAATTCTTGAACTAATAATTATTTTATGTATCTTAATTGGTAAATGTTCAAACTTTATTTTTAACAAGTCGATTAGACGACTTTGATCTTGAACACGGATATGAGATGGTTGGAATAACTGTAATTGGAATGTCTTACACCCATATAAAAAAAAACTATTCAGTTCAATTCTATCCAGCGCTAAATGTACGATCATGCATGCAAGAATTAGTCAAAACTTGTCGAAGGCACCATTAGATCCCTCGGATAGTACTCTTGGTTTGAGTGATTAATTTGAAACAGAAGTATAAGATTTAGGTGCTGGGATAGCAATTTCCATTATTTTAGGGACTAATTTCAAATACCAGAATTGAAGGGACTACTATTGTAAAAAACCCCAATAGTAGCTCTTTTGCTTATCTAGCCCTCAAATGTGAACCATTTACAAATTTATTCTTCAAATCCCCATTCTTCCTCGTTGAGTTTTTCTAGGCCTCGTTACATTTTAAATCTTGAAATTTTATTCCCTCGATTACACTTTCCCGTCGCCAAATCATCGAACGAACCCTAGCGCTCTTTCAGATCGGATCAAAAAACGCGAAATTTTCGGAAATCGAAGTGCATGGGGGCGTTTGATTACTCGACAGAGAGGAGTATCGAAGGCTTGCATGGAGACTGATTCCTCGACGCAGCATTAAAGGTGCGATCTTTTCCTTTTTCTTGCTTCTATATCTGTTATCGATCTGGAGGAATCGAGTTCGTTTGATTTTGGTTGGGCTGAATTTTGATGAAGGAGATGAGTAAAAGGAGACCGAATTTGATTAGGGTTAGGTTTTTGATTAATTAATTATTAATTAGATGCACTAAAATAACATGAATGAGTGATTAGATTGCTTGCCACTATCAATGTTTGTTGATCTTGTTGTGTCGTATTTTAAGTATTCCGAGCTAAACTAACTGATGCGGGACTCTCTTTATCCGGTTCTTGATTCTTGCATCTCGAGATTGATGATGTCGAATGCTTCTTGTTGTGGAATAACCGGAAGAGGAGTTGAGCTATCCGTGCTTGCCAGCGCGACCTATTTGCTCTGTTTCACCACCAGAACCTTATTTGAGGAGGAGGGACAGCCTTTCTTGCGCCATTGATGGTGCAGGTGTAGGGGGGTTCGGTTGGGATTGGTTGGTTTGTTTTGAAGACTGTAACTTAATAATAATCAACATATGAAGGATAGTTTGGTCACTGCCAAATTATATCTATTAATTTAACAGAAAAGGGAATATACTGGTTATGTTTCCTAACAGCGAAAAATAAGTGCGAGTCTCCAATGAGGTTCCATCAATTTTCTCAGCACAAAAAAAAAGTGGTAGAAAAACTCAGTGTGGACTTGGAAAATAAATTAGAAGATATCTAGATTTTGGGGAAAATTTGCTAATATAATAGATTTAAGGGGTACATTAGCAAAATCCTTCATTTAATGGGTCGAGCCTGAGCAAAGCTCTCAACAAGTTCGACTCGAGTCTTGAGCTTCACAAGACCAGTCATAATGAAAGCAAATCATGGCAAAATGTTTTAAAACTGAGTAGAAAAGGATAAATGTAATAAAAGCTCCTCGACTATTGAGTGTTTTCTATAAAAGCTAGATTAAACAAAATTTGTTGAACTTTCAAAATCATATGAAATCCCTCGAAATATTAGAAATTGTCATTAACAACGTTAACCTGAACGATAAAAGGTATGCACAAAAAAATTGGTGAGAAGTCTAGGAATGAGGTTGAGGAAACGGTTGACGTTGGAGAAGTTGAGAAGTAGGAAAATTAGGCAGAGGAAGCAGACGACTGTGAAGGACTAAAGGGGTTTTGCCAAGGAAGAAAATAGAAAGGGAGGATGAGCGAAAGGGAAGGTGGTAGGAGGATTTGAAGGATCTCGAGGGGATTTGATAGAGAGTAGGTAGGGGACTTGATAGGTAGATTTGAAGTGAATAAGTGGCAGGTAAATAGACATTTTTAGGGAATCTTTTTTGCCAGAGCAAGTTTAGGGAGGTTTTGTGCAAACCCTAAAACGTAGGAGGGTTTCATGCGAACCCTCTAAAGTTTGGGGGGTTTTGTGAAATTTATCCCTAGGGCCAAACTATCCAAATCATGTCATGTTCGAAGTACTTAACAACTTAAACTAATTGTCATTTATTATGCCAGTTACAGTAGTTTACTAAGATTATTTGAGGAGGATTTTGTTTAAGGATAAATTGCATTAATTCCTTCCGTATTTCATAATTACTAATATTTCTCATATAATTTGTTTTTTGCATCACTTTGCACCCTAAAAGTTATTTTGTCAGCAGTTGACCTCCTACAAATAAAAATAATTATATAATTATTTTTTATGACTAAAATGTTCTCGCTAAAATGTTCTCACTTTTGTCAGCAGTTGACAAATATTTTTATGACTAAAATGTTCTCAAGTGAAGCAGTAATAGAACATGAAATGTAACTAAGTAGGTCCTATATAGATAGATAGTCCCTAATGGCATAACATGATAAATTAAAGAATAGAAAGGAGAAGAAGCTCGTGTAATGCAATCATTGATTTATTGTTATCATCCTATGTTTCTAAAGAAACTTTGAACATGTCTGCAAGAAGTGAGTCTAGATCTAGGTACACAAACCTAGGAGTCATCAGCAAGACAACTATGTGAAATGAGGGAGGAATGCAACAACATGAAGATGAAAATTATAGTTGTAATATAGACATATAGGCCATGAAAGTGTTGGCATGAAATGATAATAGAAACATTAGCAACTAACATTTAAACAAATCAAGTATTCTGAGTGCATCATCAAAATGTTTGTATATGTCATCCTATGTTTCTAATCATTATGTAATTTGGAACTGATTGGTGGAGAAGTTTTAGATGTATCTTGTTCATTCTCGAGACAATGACTAGGATTAGGGGTGGAAATGAACTGAATTCAAATGGAATAGCCCCACTATTCGTATTTAATTCATACTTGACGACTTGAATTCTAATTCGAAATGAATAGGAAATTAACATTTAAATCAACTATTTGCTGGTAATGAATGGTGAAACTTAACAAAAAAGAAATTTAAAACTAAAATCACTTTTTCGATGCACTAAGAATGAAATGAGATGAAATGAGAGAAATAGTAGGAAAACAACCTTGACCTTTAGGGATTTTTTCCATCTCCTCGCAGAGACACAGATCATATCTCAAGCCTTCAAAATCAACTTTGATTGTCACCTGAGTTAATTGAGCCTTGTTGGTTAAGAGAGTAGATGAGAGACTGTAGGACGAGTACGAGTAGTTGAGAGAGTAGCGATAAGATGAAGGATGAGAGGAAGGACAAACTTGAGGAAACACGAGGAATTCCGATTGAGCAAATCAATGAATCCAAGGAACTCCGATTGAGCAAACTGACGAATCTAGATGATAGTATTATACTTTTCTTTGCTTTTCTTAGCTAAGTTTGAGAAGCACGAGGAACTCCGATTGAGAAAATAGACGAATTTAGAGGACAATATTATATTTCCCTTTGCTTTTCTTAGCTAAGTTTGAGGAAGCATGAGGAACTCCGATTGAGCAAACCGACAAATCTAGAGGATAGTATTATACTTCTCTTTGCTTTTCTTAGCTAAGTTTGAGGGAACACAAGGAACTCCGATTGAGCAAACCGACGAATCTAGATGACAAAAGCTGTGAGACTAAAGAGAGAGGGTGGGGATGAGAAAGAATGCTTGCACACCATTGACAATAGGTACCCTCACATGTTGTCAACAGGAGCGTAAGGATCTTTATAACACTAAAGAGAAGAGAAAGAAACGAGAGAGAAGATGGAATTTTGGAGAGAGTGGCATTGAAAAAGAAAAAGGGAAGAGAAACTGATGCAGAACGATCGTGAATCATTGGCCTTAGACTATTAGGATTTATTAAGATCTTTTTATTTTGGAAATATTAACATATTTTTAATTGTATGAACTATATAATTATTCTTTATATTAATTTTAAAATATAAGTTTTAATTATTTTATTTTTTTATTAATTTTTAGTTTAATAATATATGTTTGTTAATATAATGTATAATATTTCAGTCAATAATTAAATACAAATTAAATCAAAGTTAGGATACTATTACTGTAAATAGCATATATTAATTAATAAATTTTTACTTAAAGAGGAACAAATTAGATTTAGGTGAATTCTTAACCATTATAGAAGTCATAGTCACTATAAAAAGTCCTAATTATTACAAAAATAATCTAACGGCTAATAAACTGAGTTCTAGGCACCTTGGGCTACGTGTTCTGTCCTCCCACAGTATTCGCCATGTTTTCTCTCCACTGTGCTGTAACTGTCCGTTGTGCATGCCGAGTTTCTAAATCATCGTCTTCATCAGAATCAGCATCAAGCAATGCGACATTACATGGTGCCTTGGTAGGAAGATCAGAACCTTCAAAGTCATTATTTGAGTTTTCTATCTTTAGAAAGTTATGCGAGGGTGCGCCTTGGCGCAGTGGTAAGGTTGTTGTTTTGAGATTTGGAGGTCATGGGTTCAAATCTTGAAAACAGCCTCTTTGCATGCGAGAGTAAGACTACGTACATCAGACCTTTCCTAGAACCCACAATGGTCGGAGCCTCATGCACTAGGCTACCCTTTTTTAACTTTAGAAAGTTATGCTAACCGACATATGCCTAGACTATACTTTTCTGCGTCTCATATGGAAAACGAAAATGTTAGACCCTTAAAAATAGTGAACGTCGACTTGAAAACACCAAATATTCGTTCAATGCAATTTCGGAGCGATGCATGGTAATGGTTTAATAGCTCATGTGAATTGCGTGGTCGCTGACGATTGTTGGTTGGGCCGAACTCCTTAATGTGTTACCTCATATCTCGGTATGGAGCCAAGAATTGTAACCTGTTAGGGTAGCCAAAATCTAACAAATTGAATAATGATTATTATCATCTAGGAGTAGAAGTTTGCATGTACTTCTACTTGTTACATCCTTCAAGCCTCGTGAATCATTGGTGGATCCTTTAAACCTGCTAAGATATAAATAAAATTGAGATCAAATGTGCAGGCTACAAGGACATTTTGAAAACGATAGTCATGCCTATTACGATATGGGGCTTGGTCCTCGCCATAGACCATGCGTGGAATTTAGGTCATCAATTGCACCAATATAGTCTTGTACATTCCATTAAGATTTATGAGAAATGAATTTACAATTTTAGTAATAATGATGTAATGTTAACATAATGTGATGTGATATGAAGCTTCAATACCTTGAAATAACGATGACAATGAGAGTATGATTTGACGTTTTCTGGTGGATCGATAGGAGGGGATGCCATCATATAATGGGCCAATGATACAAGGGCATTGAGTGCCCTATTGAAACACACTGATAGCAAGTCATGATAGATCTAATCTCTCGGTGATAATGCAATATCGTTGAGTTTGAGTAGCATTAAGAAGGAAAATAGCAATCATCTCCTCGACGCTGATACAACGTGTATCTTGCAAATGCTCGTGACCTCGCAATACTATACACATCTTTATGAAGCAATCTGGATACATGCGATATACTCGACGAAAGTCAAGTGGACTGCTTTCCGTCTTGGACTTCAAGTACATCCATAATGCCATGTCTAAGTCAGAAGATCCTTACATTTGACTCCATCTCTGATATATAGTGTGAGATATTCGCAACTAGACCTCCTATTTGTGCAGCCATGCTAATTATAAGAATGAGGAGATAATCAGTATTATCCACGTCAAATACCAAAATAGACACATTTGAAGTATCTTCTATCCTGTTATATACATGAAAACAAAATTTAGTTAATAACGTTACTAAATAAATGCTAGATAAGAGTACGAGAGGAAATAACATACACTTAGTATAAAAAAAGTTTAATTTCTTGAATGATAATCACTCAAGCGCAAGCCAGATACCATCGTGAGCCTAGAAGTTTAATTTCTTATTCTTTAGAATGAGTTAATACTAAAAGCTAACCAAAATAGTATTATTCCACATGCATTCACATACAATATTTTAAAGCATATTTCAACCATTTGAACATGTAAATAATTGCCACCAGCACTTTGAACTTGTTTATTATAGTCAACAACTTATTTCTATTTGAAGTCATTCATATAGCATTCTAGTTAATGGATCTTTGAGATGATAAATAATTCAAAGAACTTGTGAGTTACTGTAACTAGTGTCGTTGTCTTGGACGAGGCATTCCATTTACTTTTGTATAAAAGAAAATTAAGGCCTAGATAAAGTAGATGCAAATTCAACTTTTCAAGAAACTAACATTAATAACAAAACTAAGGCCTCTTAACATATTCTTAATATAGAATTTTAAGTTTCTCTTAAAACCCTCTGACCTAACAAACGTCAATGGGCTACACAATATATCCCTAAAGAAGTTAAGAGATTTTTCACTAATCATGAAAGACATCAAATCAGCTCAACAAGAAATTAACATCAATTCCTCGAAGATCATATCTTATTACTACCATTCAACTAAAACCCACGTTTTAATAAAAAATTGAATGTGAACTCACACCAAAATCAGACATTGAAATCTAAAAGTAACAAAATCAAGTCATAAACATACCTGAAGAGCCCCTAAAGTTCTCCAGCAGACCTTGTCCTTCTTTAGGGTTTGTTCGAGCTTCGACAAAGGCTAGATCCAAGGCACAAAAGGTTGAAGCTGAGAAAGGGATTGAGGATGCTGGAGAGATCTGAGGTGAGAAAGAGAGATGTGGACGATGGAGAAGTTGGGAGCAGAGAGAAAGAGGAGTGCCAACGAGATGAGAAAGAATGAGGATCGCCTTTTGATTTTGTGGGCTAGGGCCAAAATATCCTAGTGTGTTCGACTGTCATGATTGGGGCCAAAACGAGATGGGGGGCAACATTTTTATTATATAGTTGGGATAAATTTTGGGGTGAGGGGATAATAGTCCCAACAATATCCCAAAAAACCAGTAACACAAGTTATTATTCCAACCTATTACCCCTACCAATAACATCAAAAAATGTTATCTCAAAACTTATCCCAATTACCCCCATATTCACCAACCAATAACAACCCACCCCCCATCCCCACAAAAAAAAAACGCACCCTCTTAGAGATTTTATATGATAGAGATTCTAAGATCTATTAGATTATTTTTTATTTTAGTGATATTTGATGTGATTTTTATTTTTTGGTAGGATTTCCTTAAGACATGATGTTAGGATTTTTAGGATCTTAAAGATTGTATTTGATGGAGATTTATTTTAGTTTTTTTAATAGGGTGTGAGATTTGATGTAGGGTTATTATTTGATCATGTTAGTTATATTTTTCTATAAATAATATTGTAATCCTCATTAAAAGGCAGACCATTGTTTAATAAAAGTTGAGTTATGAGAATTATCTCATGAGCATGTGAAGTGTTCTTTGCCACGTGGATTCCCTCTTAGGGTGGGGCCCTGGGATGTGAAGCGTATTTAAATGCACTATATCCATGCTCAAGGGGTTATAAATTATGGGTCCTTTATGCCTCCCACCCATGTGTGACCAGTGTTGATTACCAAATCTTCAGACAAGTTGGACACCTAGCTATGTCTAACCTAAAACTTTGATATTTAGGTTCAAGAAACAAGTGAAACTTTCTGTAGTTGAGATTTGATTGGTGTATAGTATCTTGTTATTTAATTATAAATATGTTATTAACCCCTTTGTAATAGATATTTGTGTTGCCACTATTAATTTTGGTGTACCTACCACTGTCATAAAGTTAGAGAATTTATAAATTGGCTTGTTGTTGATAATTTAATTTTGGAGAACTTGCTTGACGTCACTTTTTATGTATTATATAATAGGAAATGACCAACTTCGCTTTAAAAAATTGTTGAACTTCTGACTCCCCCTAAAGTATCAATTTACCTATTATCCCCTTTTTACTATGTGTATAGGCCCGATGTGGGTCTTTTGTGAGCTTACAGTCAAATATTTAATAGATTGAGGACGTGACAATGTTTTTTGCATTTTGCCTGGGTTTTTATTAGTCCATCTCCTTTCCCTCAGAAACCATTATATTTTTCAACTCCTTTCCCATCAATTTTTCTATTCTGTCATTTTTTCAAATTTAAAGATATTTTTTGAATTATAGAAAATGCAAAAAATGCAAATAAAGTCACTGTCACGTCATCTATCTGTTAAATATTTGACTATAGTCTCACAATATTTGACCATAGGCTCATAAAATGACCACTTTGGAACCATCAATTTAAGGGGCTTAAGAGGTAAATTGATATTTTAGAAAGCAAGTTCGGATTTCAACAATACTTTAAGGGGGTGTTGATCATTTTGATCTACATAATACATGTAGCATGGTTTCTTGATATGCATTCACGTCACTGTTATAAATAGCTGTAAATAGCCCCGCAATAGCGGCGCTAATAGCGTTAGTGGTCCCTTCTCGTTACGCTATCGCCCAATAGCAATGGCATATTACGAAATATGCGTTTTTCGTTCACAAAAACGGCCAATAGTGTGCCATAACGGTAAATAGTAGGCGATTGCATGAGAAATCTGCTTTTTACTGCTATTTAAAAGCGGTAAACCCGACCCTTGACAATTGCATTCCACTATCTCCTGTGATTTTCGACATACTCCCGTCATCTCTCATAGCCTCTGGCACCTACCTCAGTACTTGCTCTCACCTCCTTCACCGTGAGCTCCTCTTAGGACAGTCCTCTTACGGTCTCACTGCTCAGCTCTTCTCGAAGATGATGACTCTTTGACTTTTTCAGTCATCTTCGGTATTACGTGATTGTTACATGTCTATTTTATATTTAGGATCTCTTTAAATCATCAAATATGTATTTTTAGATTTTTTAGATTTTTGTTTAATCTTTCTTTTTTAGTATTTATACACATCTAAATTAGACCGCTATTTAACTTGCGTTTTTATCGCTATTTTACCACAATAGACCCAAATAGCCTTAGCGATGCCTCACCCAGTGTTATCAATGCGTGAGGCACAAATCATCTTTACGCGCATATGCGCAAGGCGCAACGCGATGCGCGCACCCGAGTGATGCGAGGCGCACACTGCCCACATAATTTTTTAAAATATATAATCAAACGCGAAAGAACATGTTTTTAGAATTCACATGAAAAATGTCATGATAAATAATATCTTCCTACAAAATCACAACATAATGCCTTAATTTCTAATGCTAACACCCAACATAGTAGCAAAATTCATAAATTTTCAAATCAAATGTTAAATCAAGACTAATATCCAAGCAAAGGATTAATAATGATCCTCAATTGAAGGCTACTAAAAAAGCCTAATGGATTTAGTTTGCTTTTTGGGATATGCAATATCAAGTATAAGGACTAGATTGAAAATGTTAACAAACAAAACTATATGAGGATATGTACTACATGCACCCTACACAAAGTAAGGATGTATGCGAGGCGCAAAAGGTGCTGCTGCATCAGAAGTGGGGCGCTTCGCCACCGCTCCTCATTGTAAGGTGCATGAGGCGCAGTGAGGTGCGCGCCTTTGAAAACATTGACCTCACCGCTACGCGACGCTATCCGCTATCGATAACCTTGATTCACGCCCTGCTAACTTGTGTTATAGTTGTATATCATACCCTAACTTTTACAAATTTGTACCCTCGACAGAGTAAACATAGTGATGATGTCAACCAGAATTTACTCTCTTCAGTTCGACTTATCATCAATAAGTTAGAATCCTAATTCTTTGTAGTAAGCACAGGAAACCACCTTACCTCAATTTGTGATGCTGAGCTTCTTATGGTGGTCCATTTTTGTAAGATACACCTTATATTTAATTTTGTGATGCATTAGACTTGGAGTTGATTTCTCAGACTTATAGCTGTAGGAGTTTATCATTAATCTGCTTTTCTCCACCTGTCGGTAGACAGTAGTACAACCGCATATCAGTTTGGAAAAGTGTTGTTTCTTGTCCATATCATCTGCTATATATATCCTTGCCAAATTCAACCTGTCAGATTCTTTTCTTGTTTATTAGGGATATTCACTGATCCGATTTTCAAACTGCTGGTTGAATAGGCAACACTTTGATTGTTTGTTGTCAAGGCTCGTTGCATCATTGTCCAGTGTCCAGTAATACGGGCTTTGCTGATTCTTAAATTCATGGCTAAATTATCTAGAATTGACCTCATGACACCGGTTATGAATAACTGGTTTGTGACTTCTTGAGCATTACTTGTAGACATCAATAAATGGATAAAGAGGAATGCAATCCTGTTCATGTATCTTCGACCAAATCCTACGAACACCCATTACTGAAATATAGTATTGTTTACTTACAAAAGTGGTACACTAGCAACAATAAAAAAATTGTGTTATTGAAATTTGCTTTTTGTTTCGAGTTAAAACTTTATGAGAACTCATTTGCATGACCCTACTCTTAAATGACACTTTTCTTCTGTTTTGTAGGGACAACGCCGGCATTCTATTCCATATCAAGTCTGCTCACTCCCCGCAACATTGGTATCTTTGAGCATTAGTTTTCATATTATTTTCACTCCTCCATCCTCTATTTCTGCTTCATCCTCGTATAATGAGCAGAGATTGGTCATACAGTGAAGTTCTGAAGGCCGTCTTCCCTCTCCTAGATGGCCCTGATCTAACCTCATGTATGCTTGTTTGTCATCAATGGAGAGACATTGCTAAAGATGATTACCTTTGGAAATGCATCTGTGCTAAAAAATGGCCTTCTATCTTCAAGAGACCTCCACCTGCTTTAAGCTACCACAAGCTTTTTGTATCTTTCTCAAAACCTCGTCGTACCCAGCCCCTCCTACCTCCCAAGCTATCCTTCAACGACTTGGACTTCTACTTTGATATCTGGTCCGATGACAAATTAATCTTTTCTGAATCAATCTCTGGCACTACACTTCGATTAGGGATCAAGAATCCGCCACCTGGCATTTCTGATGTCCTCAAGTCTCACCTCGATAACCCAGATTACAAGATGATGATGCAGGTGGAACCGAGATTCACGATTCCTCTTGGTCGGTCTGTTTCAGTTTCGGTGCTTGTAACCAGAAAGGATACTGATCAGATTGCTTGCATCCTGAACAAATCCATGTTTGATTATGTCGATGGAACCGCTTTTAGGGCTTTGGCGTATGACTACCTTACCTTTTCTCCTACTCATCCATTTGTATCTGGTATCAGGGCTTGGGTCTCTTTACTGTTCTTAGCAAACAACAGTGACAGTATTATTGATGTGTTTGGTATTGAAATGGATTTTTGTGATGCTGCTAACTCGGAGAATGAGGTTCTGTGGCTGTTGGATATCCTGGATTGGAAATAGAAATGAGTAAAAATAAGAACCCTCTTAACTGTGATGAGGGTGGAGGAGAATGTGGATTTTCTTGTTTTACTTTTAATGTTACGATTATTTTTTGGTGGGGTAGGGTGGGGTGGAACGGGTAATGAGTTGGCCATTTCTTTCTATTTGTTGTCAATTTGTTATTTTCTGTACTTCATCTTGTATGTTCAACTTCAGAGGTTCGATACCGTGGGTGTTCGAGTGGTTTTTTTTTTTCATATTAATTAAGGAGCTGTTTTTTCTATGACCAGAAGGGTCAAGTAATATTTGTCTAGCGCTGTACGAGGGAAGTTGTTGTTTGATGCACGAACGGGTATATACATAGTTCTCGTTGATTGTATGCACTATGGGGTAATAATCATTATGAACCGCCTCGTGGTACAAAAAATTTGCCAAATAATGCTCATGCTAATGAGAATCACATCCTAAATAAACCTATTATCATATATCTATCAAATCGGTAAAACAAGAAAGTTCAATAAAGTAGATTTATTATTTAAAACGAAACGAACTATGCGATCATGAATTCAATATTCAATAATTCGCTAGTCATGTGTCTAAGACTAGATTATTGTGATTTTGCATAGTGTTTACAATTTTATCCATAGAGATAAAAGTTGCTCCTCTTTCTTAAAATAATTAACGACGGAAAAATATATCCATTAATATTATTTCTGTGAGAGAATGTATCAAATAATCTTTAAATGTGTACAAAGAGATGTTAACCATTGTATTATTGAATTTTAATATTTGTGTACGGATCCAATAACTAACACTCGTTTGGTGTAAATTGTCCTCAATGAACACTTTCTCCTTTTGTGATATCATTTATCTTTCTCTGCCAATCTAATACTATTATAAAAGTGGGTTGCCATGTTAAAACATTTCTTCCCAATGTACTCTCCAAAACACATGCATACATAAATAAAACACATGCATACTTATGTACAACACATATATACATGAACATACATGCATACTTAAATAAATAAAAAATAATTTTTAATAACTATCTTATTAATAGTTTTTTAATTAAATACATTTATTCTCTACATTTAATATCTTAAATGACATCCTCCATCAACTCTCTCTACTATTTCACATGACTTTTCAATTCATACTATTACCGTTACTTTTATACATGAAAAGTAAAATGTAATCAACTTAGAACAATGTTCATCATTTTTTATTTCTGTAAGTGGTCCCCATAGCATTATATATATCCTCGCACTCTATGAGATTATCCGGTTATAAATAAGTTCACCCTAGCTATTTGACTTCAGCAAATTTCCTCCGTACTAAGATAAATCAATCATGGGAGTTAGACGCCAGCTTTGAATTCCTTACTAATTACTACCCAACCCAGCTCACAGACACCGGGCTTCTCACCTTGTACTGCTTCTGATGGAGATTCTTCCATATAATCTACCCTTCAGCAAAGGTCACTCCTCTTGCTCTCTTCTTCCTCGACTCGAACCAGACCCTGTAACTCTTCTTCTCGTTCGCTTCTTTGAACGCCAGCAACTTCGACGTAACCTGAACTCTCACTCCTTTCGGCTCGCTCACTTCAACCGCATAACTCAAGTCAGGAGGCCCGACGTTGGTGACGGTTCAGAGCCGTCCTCTGAACCGTCGCCCTCGCTCTCCATTTCTTGAAGGCGATCGAAATGGATGGGTAGTTAAAACATTTCTACCGAAAATGCCCTTTAAAAGATATACATGCATACATAAAATATATGCATCCATACATATGTTAAAACATTTTTACCAAAAATGCCCTTTAAAATATATACATGCATACGTAAATTACATGCATCCATACATAAATCATACCTATACATACATAACCCCCAATTAAATGCATATTCATAACCCCAAATAATAATATTATACCATGACTACGTTGTTTACATTTTAATTTGTAATCTCCCATCAACATATTAATCTCTTTCATTAACCATGTACAAAATCAGCAAATTCGCTACACGTATATTGCACATGTGACTTTTGTCTATTCATTTGTTTCTTATTCTACATGACTAATATCATACTTTTTCATAGAGAAATTCAGGTATCACTGTATTTCAAATTCAAACACATACATAAATACTAGGATATAAAACACATATATGCATAATAAACCATACACCTTCAAATCAAACACATTCATACATATACATACATACATAAACTATACTCTTTCAAATTCTTCTCATAACCTCCAAGACTCAAATCTTATTAAATCACATTAATTAAAGGTTTTATATTATGATATTACTATTCTTTATTATAGTTATATTTTATAAACTGTAGTATAACTATTATATATTATAGTTAGATATATCTATTTTGTATTACACTTTAGATATTAATGAACTTTATAATCATATTTTGTAATATGATGTTTGGGTATACATTGATTGTCACATAATGATAATTACAGCGAACCAAATAGCGGTAAATAATAAGTCATGATAGACTTAATTATTCATGTTACGTATGATCACACAACATGAATAGTTGCACATTCTTATTAATAGTCTTATAGATATTATTTACTATGTTTCTTGTAATTAAATTCATTATAACCCCACTAACCCACACTCAATAATAATACCTATCAATCTATTTGATTCCTATAATAACCTCCCAGCCCTCAATTAAATCAATTAATTATGTTGTTATAACCCCCATTATAATTAACAATAAAATAAGTAATATCATAATATTTGGTTCACTGTAAGTATAAAATAAGTGCATACATAAAATAAGTGCATACACGTGCAAAGCACGTACAATATACTAGTATCAATAAAAGCACTTATAGCTTCAAGTTTCAAGATAAACCCTGTCTGATGCATTTGTGCTTGCATACACAAAAAGAAGTTATATACTTAAGAAAAAAATAGAAGCCTTTTTAAATAAATTCATTTAAGAAGATCTGTATGGTTTCAGTTCAACTATGATGATCAATTGGGTTGACTTTTTTGTTACACCTAAAGTTATCTAATTCCGGAAAAGATGTTATCTTTTTGTTTCTGGACTCACTCTGTTATTTCCGATTGCATAGGCAATTGATGGAAATTTATTTATAGAACTGCTTCCCACAAATAGTTTTCTTCTTTTCTTTTGGTAGCATAGTAAACCCTCTTCCTAGGGTTTCGACAATTTTCTCGGAAAATATTTTCTGTAGTTTGGTTGGAGAGGGAAATATATTTAGGAAAATACCTTTAATGAATTTTCATGTTCGAGAAGCAAGTTCGCAAAAAAGCAACTTTGAATTGAGCAACTATTAATAGGCAACAAGAAGAAACATGACCCACGTGAAAGGATTATCTATACTATATATAAAAGAGGATTGCATTGTAAAAACATTTAATTTCTATTTTTACCAACTACAAAAAACATGACCCACGTGAAAGGATTATCTATACTATATATAAAAGAGGATTGCATTGTAAAAACATTTAATTTCTATTTTTACCAACTACAAAAAACATGACCCACGTGAAAGGATTATCTATATTACATATAAAAGAGGATTGCATTGTCAAAACATTTAATTTCCATTTTTACCCTTTAAAGTTTTGCATTGTCAAAATATTTAATTTCCATTTTTACCCTTTAAAGTTTGATAATTCTCAAATGTATTATTACTTATAATTAATCATTCAATAATTATATTTAACCTCTTACTAATTATGCATTTCCTCACTTTTTGAAAACCTTTGGTCACACTATTATTTTATTATTTAATTATGTTATTGATCTATATCTATCTATATTTCTATCTATACTACATATAAAAGAGGATTGCATTATCAAAACTTTTGATTTTCATTTTTACCCTTTTAAGTTTGATAATTCCCAAATGTGTTATTAGTTATAATTAATCGTTCAATAATTATATTTAACCTCTTATTAATTACAATTTAGAAATTATTTACTAATAGTATAATAAACTAATTATTAAATTAAAATATAGTTACTAATAGTATTGTAATTATGGAGTAAAGCTCCCATAAACTTAAGTAAATGAAAGCTCTTTGTCAACCAACTTTTTTGTCCTTTAATTTTATATTGAGATTTATGCTAGCATGTAATACAAATGAAGGCACAAATCTCAAAGATATCATTGATGTGTAGCACAAAGCTCAAAGCATAATGAATGAATAAAAAGTTTGATGGACAAGTGCTCCTATCCCCTTAAGCTTATAGGAGCTTTACTCTATATTTATGCATGTATAGTATTATTATATTTAAAAGAGAAACTTTTTAATATATTATAATTATTTTAATAAATTATAAATAAATTATAATAATTATCCAAACTATAATAATTAATCATACAATTCTTTATACACTGTTTTATCGTACAATTTATTTATTTAAACAAATTTATATTGCTATGAAAGTTATTTCATTATTTTGCATCTAAAAAAATGAAAAACATAAAATAAAATAGATATGCTTTCGTGCAAAGCACGTGCACTATACTAATATTATATTAAAAAGAAATTACTTAGATCTTAATCTGCTGAAATCAATTTCTCACATTTATGTGAGCTTTAAAGAAACTTTAAGAAGTCTATTTCTTAGTTTAATGTCCCACGTAAATATAGATATTTGAAAACCTCTTTGAGAATGCGTTTCCATAATAGGGGCGGAAATGGACGATTTTAGAGATTTCCACCCCACCCAATAAGAAAGTGAATGAATTTATCCAATCTTAAGGTAAATTATTACCTTTTTAAATTGTAGGAAATTGATTTAAAATCCACTTTTTGTTTTATTTTAGATTTGATTTTTCAGTTGGTCTTTTAGGCAATATACCAGATAGCCGTAAGGATTAAATTAGGGGCAGAAATGAACCAAATAATTAATTATTAGGTTATAGTTCATCCAGATATTTGATTATATTTGATTTGGTAATTTATTAATAGTATATGAATATCTTTTAGTATTCGATTCATAAACGAATAGAATTTAACCATATGTATATTTGATTATTAAATATTTGTTTATGTTTTACATTTCATTCCTCTAAGATTAATTTATTATAAACTATTTATTCTATAAGATTCACTTGAGACATTTATTATGCCAACATATATCATAACAACTATCTACTAGAAATAAATTTTCTACTACATATTTATTAGAAATAAATATATTTTATTCCTCTAAAGTTAATGTATATAAACTATTTATTTAGTATCGTTTCACTTGTGATATTTATTATGA